CCCCGGGGGCCCCCCCCCCTTCTCCGGGGGCCCCCGGGGGCCTCCCCCCTTCTCGGGGGGCCCCAGGGGGGCCCCCGTGGGGGGCCCCCCCAATGTGGGTACTGGGAGGCGGAGCTGAATGTAACGGCAGAGCTCAGGCCAAATGCGAGCCAGAGAAAAAGCAGCAAGGTGAGCTTCTACATTCGCTGCAGCAGCAGAAGCAGCAGCAGCAGCAGAAGCAGCAGCAGCAGCAGCGGCAGCAGCAGCAGCAGAAGCAGCAGCAGCAGTGGGAGCAAGAGTAAGGGTAACACCAGAGACGTAAGATGCAGCAACAGCAGTAGTAGCAGCAACAGCAACAACCGCAGCAGCAGCAGAAACAGCACCAACTGCAGCAGCAGCAGCACCTGCCGCAACAGCACCAACAGCAGCAACAACACCAACCGCAGCAGCAGCAGCAGCACCTGCAGCAACAACACCAACTGCATGAGCACCAGCAGCAACAGCAAAACCAGCAGCAGAAGCAGCAGCAGCAGCAGCAGCAGCACCTGCAGCAACAACACCAACCGCAGCAGCAGCAGCAGCAGCAGAAGCAGCAGCAGCAGCAGCAGCAGCAGCAGGAAGGTGCTTACGAGCAGATTTGCTGACTTGTTGTCTGTACTCATCAGCATCAGCAGCATCAAAGAAGAGAAGGCTTTGCTGCACATAAACATGCCTGCTGCTGCTGCTGCTGCTGCTGCTGCTGCTGCTGCTGCTGCTGCTGCTGCTGCTGGGGAGGAGGAGCTGCTGCTCCTTATATATGAAGGGGTTTCCTGCTGCATCAACAACAGCAAAGACAGGCACCCCCAGCAGGTGCCAGTCTGTCTTTAGTCTGCATGCACACACACTAAAACAATTAGGGTTTAGGGTTTAGGGTTTAGGGTTTAGGGTTTACTATATCTAGGGTTTAGGGTTTAGGGTTTAGGGTTTGCGACATACTCCTTTCTTTCGGAGCTCAGCAACCCCAGACGCGAGAGAAACCGCCCAAAGATACTACGGCTATTCTGTTGCTGCTGTTGCTGCTGCTGCTGCGGTTGCTGCTGCTGCTGCTGCTGCGGTTGCTGCTGCTGCTGCTGCTGGTTGTCTGCAACGGCGAACGCAAAGACAGTCCTTAGGAGGGAGCGCCTTAAGGAGAAGGCAGGAGGAGCAGCTCGTGCTGCAGCAGCAGCAGCAGCAGCAGCTGCTGCTGCTGCTGCTGCAGCAGGACTAGATGATGCAGTTTTGCTGCTGTTGTTGTTGCTGCTGCTGCTGCTGCTGCCTGCAGGTGCAGCAGGACGAAGGCGCTGCTGCAGCTCCGGTGTATATACACTGCACAGGGGGGCCCTCGAGCAGGGGGCCCCTAGGGGGGCCCCCGAACAGGGGGCCCCCAGGGGGGCCCCCAAGGCTTTTGAAGGGCCCCCAAGGAGAGGGAGATGTGTGGTGTTTCTGCTGCAGCTTCCTTTCACATGTATGCAGCAAGACAGATGCGACTGCAGCAGCAGCAGCAACAGCAGCAGCAGCAGCAGCAGCAGCACTATGGGCTGCTGCAGCAGCCGCAAGCGGGAGCCAAAATGCTGCGACAAACTCAGCATGGTAAAAAACAACAATGGGGGGCCCCCACGATGGAGGTTTGCTGCTGGGGGGCCCCCGCCTCTACAGCAGCAGCAGCAGCAGCAGCAGCAGCAGCAGCAGCAGCAGCAGCAGCAGTAGCAGGGGCCCCTGTCAGCTGTGTCTCTACAGCTGTGCTGCTGCCTTCACTTTGTTGTTTTTTTCTTTTTGTAATATATAAATATATTTATATATATAGAATAACAGCAAACAAAGAA